CCCCCCCCCCCCCCTCCGTTGCTGCAAACATCCCGCTGTCAGCGGCGGTACGTGATCGACTACTATTACGATGACGGTGCTGTGGATGAAGAGGGGATGCCAGGGCTGCACGCGGAAGGGGCGGTGAAATCGATCAAGGTAAGGTGATGTGTATACATTCCCTGTGCTTGCGTCTATGCACCATGGAACCGTGCGCATGGCTTTAGAACGGCTCACTTGTCCTTTGTGGCTTTTCCCGGTGGCGCTGTGCTGTGCGACTTACCGTTGGCCGTCAAAAGGTGCAGACTATTGTTATGTACGTTACCTGACGCAAGATATCACACACCGTTGGACCGTTTTTCAAAACTCGATTATTCCGCGAAGAAGATGCCGAAATCAAGTGACACATTTTCGGAAAGCTCTCGACGAGACGGTTCAACGCCTAACGTCATTTTTCGGAACCGTCGCTGCTATTCCCGCCTAGTACTCGAGCTTCGAAGATCGGTCCAGCGGGTGTGATATCCTGTACAACCTACGGTGTATGCGTGCTTGCATGTGACCATCTTGTGCGCTCGGAGGTTAGCATGGTCAAAACACCGGGCGCGCGGTGCTATTGCCTCGTACGAAGCCAACAGGAACAGCTCTTTGCAAGCAAGAAAGACTTACTGTACGAATTGACTGGTGGTCCTGCTACTACTACCACAGCTGTAGCGCTGGTTTCCAACATTGGAGTGAAGTCTAAGAACTCCTGTTCATACTCTTGTAACTGGCTTCTTTTTGATTCGTTTGGCTTTTCGAGCCAGGATCGTGTCAGCTGAGTGAGCTTGGGAAAGGTCACCGCAGGTGGCGGTCATTTGTCAGGTGGTCCTGCTGTTGGCTATTGTCGCCATCTTGCATCACGACCCCTTGATGCTCTCATGAACATCTACTCCTGATTGATCACTTGTAGAAATGACGCACTGATATTGTGTGTTGGATCGAAACAGGTTGACGTTCGCCCCGCTTTGGACAGCTTCCGAGACTTGGCAGACCGATTCGTGCAGATGCCTTTCGCGCGCCTGACGGGGAGGAGTGAGTTCGTCCCTCTCAGCTTGCGCCCCTCTCCGACGATGAAGGCCAGGGTGAGTCTCTGAAATAGGTTTACGCTGGATGGACTTATCAACGTTTGTTGTTGGTGGGGGGGGTGCGGGTTCTTGGTGGTGTATCCACGGCAGGTTAAACATCTCCGTAGCTTCTTCTGACGTCATGCGTTACCGCCGAATGCCCCCCGCCCAGTCCCTGATGTATAGACTGCTTCTGGTCACGTCGGGTACAAGGGCAGCAAATTTACTGAAGAATGATTGTATCCGCAGCTTCTTCTGACGTGATGTGTTGCAATGCCCCCCTCCCCATCCCTGAAATCCGATCATCGTCC